TAAAAACTTCCTTAAATCTCCTGTTTAGCTCCTCACATACCTCTTGGTCATTTCTTGTGAGTTCTCCCCCTTCTGTCCTTAATCTGATCACCTGGTCTTTGACTGTTTTCTTCCTCCTGATGTGGCTATACAACAGTTTCGGGTCAGTCTTGATTTTCGATGCTATGTCATTTTCATACTGTCGCTGGGCCTCCCTCCTTACCTGTGCGTACTCGTTCCTGGCTCTGCGACTGATCTCCCTATTTTCGTGTGTTCTCTGCCTTCTGTACTTTTTCCATTCTCTATTGCACTTTGTTTTTGCCTCCTTACACCGTCGGGTAAACCAGGGGCTCGTTCTGGTCTTCCCGTTGTTTCTGTTGCCCTTGGGAATAAACCTTTCCACTGCCTCCTTGCATTTTGTTGTTACATATTCCATCATTTCATTTACTGGCTTTCCTGCCAGTTCTCTGTCCCACGGGACCTCCTGCAGGAAGTTCCTCAACCCTATGTAGTCCCCTCTTTTATAGTCAGGCTTTTCCCATTCAACTCCTGTTACTCTCTCCACTTGCAGCTCTACTACATATTCAAAGCACAGAACCACGTGGTCGCTAGCTCCTAGGGGACTCTCATACGTGATGTCCTCAATGTCTGAACTGCCCAGGGTGAACACAAGGTCCAATCTTGCTGGTTCATCCTCCCCTCTCACTCTGGTAGTGTCCTTAACATGTTGGTGCATGAGGTTTTCCAGCACCACGTCCATCATCTTGGCTCTCCATGTTTCGGGACCCCCATGTGGCTCCAGGTTTTCCCAGTCAATCTCCCTGTGGTTGAAATCCCCCATAACCAGCAACTTTGCTCTGCTGGAGTGAGCTCTTCTTGCCACCTCAGCAAGTGTGTCCACCATTGCTCTGTTGCTCTCTTCATATTCCTCTCTTGGCCTCCTGCAGTTCTGTGGTGGATTATACATCACTGCAATGACCACCTTGTGTTCCCCAGACTGAAGTGTACCTACTATGTAGTCTCTTTCTCCCATCTCATCTATGCCTTCCATTTTCTCGAATTTCCATCTGTTTTTTACTAGAAGAGCAACCCCACCTCCCCCTCTGCCCCTTCTATCTTTCCTCATGATCTGGTATCCTGGTGGGAAGATTGCATCTGTTATTGTCCCCGTGAGTTTTGTCTCTGTAACTGCTATGATGTCTGGGGACTTCTCATTAATTCTTTCTTGCCATTCCTCATGTTTATTCGTTAATCCATCTGCATTTGTGTACCAAACCTTCAACTTCTGTTCTAATACTGTAACTGTGGTGGTGGGGGGGGGGGAACAGAGGGATCGGTGTGTAATGGTTGGTTTGGATTGTTCAGTTGCCTTGGGGGTGTCGTGGCTGGGGTCCTTCTGCAGGTGTTTCTGGGGGGTGTGCTTTTCCTTCCACTTGTTCCTGGGTTATTCTGCTCTCCTTTTTCATTTCCTCCCGTTTCTCCTTTCGTTTCTGAACTCTCTCTTTCATCGTCTTTCTTTCCTCCTGTGTTCTGTCTCGGTCGAGGTACACACTCATGAACTCCTGCCTGCCTCTCAGCCGTGCTTTCTCCTGCACGATCATGGTTCGGGTTGATTCTGCTTTGAAAATTACTTTGAGAGGCCGATTCCTTTTCTCTGTGAACCACCCGATTCTCCGAAAATTTGCCACCTGGGTCATTTCCCCCTCGCCTATCACCTTCATGATACCTTCAATCCCTGTATGTGTGTGTCTGTGTGTGTATGTGTGTGTGTGTGTGTGTATGTGTGTGTGTATGTGTGTGTGTGTGTATGTGTGTGTGTGTGTATGTGTGTATGTGTTTGTGTGTATGTGTGTGTGTATGTGTGTATGTGTGTGTGTGTATGTGTGTGTGTGTGTGTGTGTGTGTGTGTGTGTGTATGTGTGTGTATGTGTGTTGTACTCACATAGTTGAGGTTGCGGGGGTCGAGTCCGAGCTCCTGTATGTGTGTGTGTGTGTGTATATGTGTATGTATGTGTATGTGTGTGTGTGTGTGTGTGTGTATGTATGTGTATGTGTGTATGTATGTGTACGTGGGAACTCTAGTAACTTTTGTTTCGGCGTATCATCTAGTATACGTTTATATTATTATTATTATTATTATTATTATCATTAATTTTATTATATTTATTTCGGTTATTATTATTATTATATTTTTATTTTTGTATTATTATATTTATTACTATTATTGTTACTTCTATAATAATAATTATTATTATTATTAAAGTTACACGACTCCACCATGAAAGTACCTTCATGCTGGTGAAGGGCTCTTCATCCAAGGAACCGGAGCTGCACTTACTCTCGTCATAACACCTCCACGCGGTGCATTATAACGAGTTAAAACGGTAATAATTATAAAAGATTACGATAATTCTGACACCCTAGTAATAACTTACTCGTTTTCTGTGGTGTTGAAGGGGAAGCTCCAGTATATTTCAGGTACTCTTGTGTTTGGATTCTGCGTGATTAGTAAGTTTATTTACGTACAGTATACTTAAATACAGTTACACAAGGTATCATACATAGCAACATATGTGTAAATTATCTAGAATTACCCAAAAAAGTCAAAGTAACGTCAGCTAGGCCTGTATACCTTGTATATATACCTGTAGAAATAAAGATATTATTATTATTAGTATTATTATTATTATTATTATTATTATTATTATTTCCATTAGGGTCGTTGATTAATGTAGAATTTTATTTTCAAGTGATCCCGAGGGTAGAAACATGGGCACAAAAGAAAGTGTACTATGTATATAGTTTAACCCACGACAACCCTATAATGTGAGGTACTGTGACCCAGTAATGTGAGGTACTGTGACCCAGTAATGTGAGGTACTGTGACCCAGTATGTGAGGTACTGTGACCCAGTAATGTGAGGTACTGTGACCCAATAATGTGAGGTACTGTGACCCATTAATGTGAGGTACTGTGACCCAGTAATGTGAGGTACTGTGACCCAGTATGTGAGGTACTGTGACCCAGTAATGTGAGGTACTGTGACCTAGTAATGTGAGGTACTGTGACCCAGTAATGTGAGGTACTGTGACCCAGTAATGTGAGGTACTGTGACCCAGTAATGTGAGGTACTGTGACCCAATAATGTGAGGTACTGTGACCCAGTAATGTGAGGTACTGTGACCCAGTAATGTGAGGTACTGTGACCCAGTAACGTGAGGTACTGTGACCCAGTATGTGAGGTACTGTGGCCCAGTAATATGATGTACTGTGACCCAGTAATGTGAGGTACTGTGACCCAGTAATATGAGGTACTGTGACCCAGTAATATGAGGTACTGTGACCCAGTAATCTGAGGTACTGTGACCCAGTAATGAGGTACTGTGACCCAGTAATGTGAGGTACTGTGATCCAGTATGTGAGGTACTGTGACACAGTAATGAGGTACTGTGACCCAGTAATGTGAGGTACTGTGACCCAGTAATGTGAGGTACTGTGACTTATTTTCATTGAGGTCTTTATATGTACTGTGTGGTGTATGTCTCTCATTTTATATACACTGTGAACTGTGTATGTGTGTGTATACCATGAGAGGGTTTTGAGGGCCAGCGCCCCCGCGGCCCGGTCTGTGACCAGGCCTCTGTGTGTATATTCACCGTGAGATGTGTGTCAGTATATATATCCTGTAATGTGTATATATATATATATATATATATATATATATATATATATATATATATATATATATATATATATATATATATGTACTGTAAGTTGTATCTCACTTTATGATCACTGTGAGGTTTATGTCTCGGTGTATATACATTTTGATGTGTATTGCAGTTTATATACACAATGAAGTGTATATCTCAGTTTACATACACTGTAAAGTGTATGTCTATCAGTGTATATATACACTTTGAGGTGTATGTCTCAGTGTATATGTATTGTGAGGTATATATTTATGTATACACTGTGAAATGTGTCTCTCATTGTATATGCGCTGAGAGGTATATCTCAATGTTTGCGAATTTTTAAGCACATTATATATATATATATATATATATATATATATATATATATATATAATATATAATATATTATATATATATATATATATATATAACGTCGGTCGTCTCCCACCGAGGCAGGGTGACCCAAAAAGAAAGAAAATCCCCAAAAAGAAAATACTTTTATCATCACTCAACACTTTCACCTCACTCACACATTATCACTGTCTTTACAGAGGTGCTCAGAACACAACAGTTTAGAAGTCAACCTCCAAACTGCCAATATCCCAAACCCGTTCTTTAAATGAAGGCATTGTACTTCCCATTTCCAGGACTCAAGTCCGGCTAACCGGTTTCCCTAAATCCCTTCACAAAAAATTACCCTGTTCACACTCCAACAGCTCGTCAGGTCCCAAAACCCATTCGTCTCCATTTATTCCTAACACGCTCACACATGTTTGCTGGAAGTCCAAGCCCTTCTCCCACTAAACCTCCTTTACTTCATCCCTCCAACCTTTTCGAAGACGACCCCTACCCCGCCTTCCTTCCCCTACAGATTTATACGCTCTCCATGTCATTCTACTTTGGTTCATTCTCTCTAAATGACCAAACCACCTCAACAACCCGTCTTCAGCCCTCTGACTAATACTTTTATTAACTCCACACCTTCTCCTAATTTCCACACTCCGAATTCTCTACATAATATTTACACCACACATTGCCCTTAGACAGGACATCTCCACTGCATGTATATCATTGTTTATACACTTGGAAGTATATATTTCTTTGTATATACACTGAGAAAATACATTTCTTTGCATATACACTGAGAACATACTTTAATCCCTACTTTAGGTATTAAATTATTCTTGATTGGTGGTGTAGAGGTGACAGCCAACCTTAATGACCCTCGTGTAGTAGATAGATTTTAAACCCCATTAACCAACCAAGCTGTGTACGTGTATGTGTATGTGAATATGTGGTTACGATCCATATCTCTCTCTTTCTGTTCCTACCTTAGCTCAGCAGTGTGGTCAGTAGCTGTTTGTACCTATGGCTGGTTCCCTCTCTCCCTCTCTCCTTGATGTCAGGCACAAGTAAGTCCAGCTGTAGCAATAACAATAGTTGTAATAACAATAGTAGCAATAACAATAGTTGTAATAACAAGAGTTGTCTTTGCTTTGCTCTAAACAAAGAATTTTTGTTGTAGTTTTAGACTTCGGTATTTTTTTTTTTTTTTGTAAGAGAGAGGTATTTTTTTTTATTATAGCGATATTGCGTGACGTGTTTGGTATCTCAGATATTTTCTTTCGTAGTTTAATCTTTTCTCAAAAAAAAAGATAAAACACACACACACACACACACACACACACACACACACATACATACATTTGTTATGAAAAAAATCAGTAACTGAAACCTTGACTCAGATGACGTTTCTGCCACACAGGAGGCGAAATGATCTCTTAAAAACATTTACAGTTATTGCTTTTTCTGCCTTTTGGTCTATAACTTGTGAGTGTTTCCATCCCATCATCTGTTACTAAAACTACCTAGATCTTTGACTTATATTAAAACTACCTAGATCTTTGACTTATATTAAAACTACCTAGATCTTTGACTTATATTAAAACTACCTAGATCTTTGACTTATATTAAAACTACTTAGATTTTTGACATATTAAACCTACCTATATTTTTGACCTCTTTTAAACTACTTAGATAGTTGACTAATATTAAAACCATACACTTTAACATAGCAGAGACGAGATGTTCGGCCTATTGTCAAGATTATTTTTTTTGCCAGTTTGTAATAGATTTTTTGCCATAGTTAAATAGTTATAGTATTGCCATAGGTAGAGAGAGATATATAGTCATAGTTTTATATGTATTTATAATTGTATATGTAGTAAAATATATATGTAGTTATAATTTTATGTGTAGTTATATTTTTCATATGGATAACTAATATGATTTTGTCATAGAGAAAATTATTATATCTTATAAAAGGGTTAATGAAAGTTATTTTTTTTTGGGTAGCGTTGGTTAGTTAGTTTTGGTTTAAGCAGGACTTGCCTAGAATGAGCCAGTAGGCCTTCTGCAGTGTTCCTCCTTTCTTATGTTCTCATGTCTCATAGGTTTACACACACACACACCTCTTCAAGGGGGGCTCCTTGGCGTGGTGAAGAGGCTCTTGGTCTGAGGAATTAGCCCTGTCAGTCTTCTTCCTCAGACCGAACCTAATTACCCCCCATTCTCCCCTCCCCTATCCCATCCTCCCCTCCCCTATCCCATCCTCCCCATCCTCCCCTTTTTCCATTCCTCCTCCTCCTCCCCACCCCTCCCTTTTGCCCTTCCTCTTTTTCCGATTATTCTTACTTCTCTTTCCTATTTACCACCTTTCCGTAGCCCTCGCTGGCAATTTGATCGGTCTAATTGGGATCTTTACTCACACCTCACTGCTTTTAGTGAAGTTCCTTCTTCATCCTCCATTGATGAGCTCCTACACATCTTCTCGATGTCAGTTTATACCGCAGCTTCTCATTCTATACCCCAAACCTCAGGCAGGCATTCTCAGAAGTGCGTGCCTTGGTGGTCTCCTGCTTGTGCTCGTGCAGTACGTTTGAAACGCGCTGCATGGGGCAGCTACCGGTACAATAGAACCGCTGAGAGACTTCTTGATTTTAAGCAGAAGCGTGCGATCGCTCGCCGTGTCATCCGTGAAGCTAAACGCACTTGTTGGCGAGACTATGTTTCCACCATCACCTCTGCTTCTTCTATGAGTGCAGTCTGGAAAAAAGTGAGGAAATTGAGTGGTAAATACTCTCCTGACCCGGCTCCTGTTCTACGGGTCGCTGGTGTTGATGTAGCAAACCCTCTCGACATTGCCATTGAACTTGGCACACATCTGGTCCGTATTTCCCGAGGGCTCCATCTATGCCCCTCGTTTCTTTCCTCAAAGTCTGCCAGAGAGTTAGTACCCTTGAACTTTTCTTCTCTCAGAGAAGAACAGTATAATGTGCCTTTTACACTTCAAGAACTAGAGGCAACGCTCTCAGCTTGCTGATCATCGGCAGCTGGGCCTGACGACATTCATATTCGTATGTTACAACATTTACATCGGTCAGCCCTTGTAGTCCTCTTACACCTCTTCAATCTTATTTGGACACAAGGAGTTCTTCCCCAGCTGTGGAAATCTGCCATTGTTCTCCCTTTCCGCAAACCGGGTACTACAGGACATGATGCCTCCCACTATCGTCCCATCGCTCTTACTAGTGAAGTTTGCAAAGTGATGGAACGTCTCGTAAATCGACGTTTAATGTGGTATTTAGAGACACACAAGAGTCTCTCCGCTGTTCAATATGGCTTTCGTAAGGGTCGTTCTACCATAGACCCCTTACTACGCTTGGATACGTATGTTCGTAATGCCTTTGCGAATAATCACTCAGTTATTGCCATATTTTTTGACCTTGAGAAGGCATATGACACAACTTGGAGGTATAATATTTTGGCCCAGGCCCATTCCTTAGGCCTCCGAGGCAATCTACCATCCTTCCTTAAGAACTTTTTAACTGACAGACATTTCCGTGTTCGAGTCAATAATGTTCTTTCCCCGGACTTCGTCCAAGCTGAAGGTGTCCCTCAGGGATGTGTTCTAAGCACAACACTTTTTCTCCTTGCTATAAATGATTTGGCCTCTGTTCTTCCACCCAATATTTGGTCATCACTCTATGTTGATGACTTCGCTATTGCTTGTGCAGGCGCTGACTGTCATCTTATTGCAGTTTCTCTCCAGCATGCGGTCGACCGTGTTTCCACTTGGGCCACCATGCATGGGTTTAAATTTTCAAGTACCAAAACTCACCAAATTACTTTCACTAGACGCTCTGTTATCTCCGATCATCCTTTGTATCTCTATGGCTCCCGTATCCCCGAACATGATACAGTCAGGTTTCTAGGCCTTCTCTTTGACCGTAGGTTATCCTGGAAACTTCACATTACCTCTCTGAAGGCAATTTGTCACAGCCGGCTAAACCTTCTTAAAACCCTTGCTCATCTTTCCTGGGGAGCTGATCGTCGAACTCTGCTTCGCCTACATTCAGCCCTCGTTTTATCGAAACTCGATTATGGTGACCAGATTTATTCCGCGGCCTCTCCTGCTACTCTCTCTAGCCTTAACTCTATCCATCACCAAGGATTACGTTTGTGCCTTGGTGCTTTTCGCTCTTCCCTGTTGAGAGCCTCTATACAGAAGCGAATGTTCCATCCTTGTCTGATCGCCGTGATGCCCATTGCCTTCGCTACTATGTACGCTCTCACGATCTACACAATCCTTCCATTTATAGAATGGTCACCGATATTAGTGGACATTCTTTATTCGTTCGCCGCCCCTGTTTGCTCCGTCCCTTTTCTCTTCGCCTACATTCACTCTTGTCTTCCCTTCAGTTACCACCTTTATATGTTCATGTAGCATCTCACTTTTCCCTACCCCCCTGGGAAGTTCCAGCTGTTCGGGTCTGTTCTTTCTCACTCCCTTGCTCGAAAGCTCAACTGCCTACGGTGGCTTCCCGCTCTCCTTTTCTTGATCACTTTCACTCCCATTCTCATGCCACCGCTGTGTACACAGATGGCTCTAAGTCTTCAGACGGCGTCGGATTCGCAGCAGTGTTTCCGGACAGCGTCGTGCGGGGGCATTTACTATCTTCAGCTAGCATTTTTACTGCTGAACTGTATGCCATTCTTGCAGCACTTATTCGTATCGCATCTATGCCTGTGTCATCATTTGTAGTAGTCTCAGACTCCCTTAGTGCTCTACAGGCTATACGAAAATTTGATACATCTCATCCCCTAGTTCTCTGTATCCAACTTTGCTACGCCGTATCTCTACAAAGCATAAAGATATTATTTTTTGTTGGGTCCCTGGTCATGTTGACGTACAGGACAATGAACAGGCAGACACTGCTGTGCGGTCAGCAGTACATGACCTACCAATTTCCTATAGAGGTGTTCCATTTCTGGACTATTTTGCTACAATAGCTGCCCACCTTCACACCCGTTGGCAACAACATTGGTCAACTCTGCTTGGTAACAAACTTCATTCTATTAAACCGAGCATAGGTTACTGGCCGTCTTCTTGTCATCAGTGCCGTGGTTGGGAGACCACTCTCTCCCGTCTTCGCATTGGCCACACTCGTCTTACTCGTGGGTATCTCATGGAGAGGCACCCTGTACCTCTCTGTGAGCAGTGTCAAGTTCCAGTATCGATTAGCCACATTCTGTTAGACTGCCCTCTCTATCAACGAGCACGCAGAATTTACCTCCAACGCCGTCTTCGTTCTACTACTCTCTCTTTACCTTCCCTTCTTGCTGATGGACCCTCCTTTAATCCTGACTCTCTCATTGACTTCTTGACAACGACTGATTTACTCCACAAACTCTGATGATGATACCTTACGCACTCCCCTCAGCCCTTTCTAGCTCAGTCTCTTGCTGCCCTTTACCCTTTCACCATCCACTGCTCCGCTGTTGTCCGTAACCTATTACTCATCCACCTCCCTTTTGCCACCTGATGCCCTCGCTTCCTTCCTGCCCCGCAGCGCTGTATAGCCCTTGTGGCTTAGCGCTTCTTTTTGATTATAATAATAATAATAATAATAATAATACACACACACACACACACACACACACACACACACACACACATACACACAAACACACACACACACACACACACACACACACACACACACACACACACACACAAACACATATATAATATATATATATATATATATATATATATATATATAATATATATATATATAATATATATATATACTGACATAAGGTGAAAGGTGAGTAGTTTGAGGTTTAGGTACACCAAAACTTTGTCAGTTGAATATCCAGAGGTAAATTAATCGACTGGAGAGAGATGGGTGGAGTTGTGCTGGTATCAGTCCCTTAGTCTTGGTGAAATGTATCGTGAAGGAAGAGAGAGTGCAAGAGTAGATAAGAGAGTGTTGAAAGTATTCTCCAGCTTAAGTGTTTCTGTAATAAATAAATTATTCTATATTTACAATGTACACTGGGTGTAATT